TAAAAACTACATCTACATATTGGAAATTAATATAGAATAGAATATTTTCTCATTAGCTACTCTAATTCAAATTTGAATAATTTTGATATCTTATTTAACCAAGAATTATATCTATATAAAAATAGTTCTTATTAATTTTGTTTGTTCTTATTACCCAAATTGTATCACTCATTATGGAATGCTCAGGGCCGTATGGCTTGGCAGCTGTGGCAGGGGAAGAAGATGATGAGAGTGATTCATCGGTTCTAAAAATCTCTGAGCGAGGCAGGGGCCATGTTGTTGGTTTAGTGACAAAACATTTGGTGTGGGATATCAGCAACGTGGTGGTCGATCTCATCCTTCCTCCCAGTTACAGGCTTACAGCACATGGAGGACTGACCTAACATTAGCTTCTGCATTTTCTACCTTTTCCATTCCATTTTGTAATATTCGTTTGATGGCCATAAAAAAGAAGGATAAAGATAGGTGCACCCACCGGTTCCACACCCGGGGGTGCACACTCTACATAACCGAATGGTTATGAAAATAAAATTACAACTTTAGCCTTAAATGTCATCTTCCTCCCAATACCACTTTTCCTTCTTGTCTCCTCAAAGAAAACCAGCCCTCCCATCTTCGAAATCTCCCTCCTTTCTCCTCCTCTCTCGGATTCTTCCTAGATTGGGTTCTCCGAGAACCCAGGGCTTTCTTTCTTCTTTCTTTTTTTTTCTTTTTTCTCTCGATCTGGGTTCTCGGAGAACCCAGAGAACCCGATCTGGGTTTCTCCAGGAGAACCCGATCTAGGAAGTTTGCGTTCGGATTTGTTGCGGGAGGAGGAGGAAAGCGGCGGTGCAGGAATCGAGAGAAGAGGATGAGCAACTGCGACGATGCAAGGAAGGGTGCGAATGTGATGGAAGGGAAGAGAGGGAGGAGGTCGGATTGCTATAGAGGTACTTGAAAGATCAACTGATGTTGGTTGGATCTGTGTACGATTGTGGGGAGGAGGAGGAGGAGGAGGAGGAGGAAGATCATGGTGATCGGGATCTGCTGGAAAACCCGATCTGGGTTCTGCTAGAGAAAAAATGAGAAAAAAAAAAAGAGGAAGAAGGTGGAAGGGTAAATTTGTAATTATATTTTAAAATTTTTTTGGTTTTGTAAGGTGTGTTGAGTCGGGTGTTGATTCATGGTGTACCTATCAGTGTCCAAAAAAGAAAGTTTGAATGGTAGATATAAAAAAAACTAAGCATATAAATTTAGTCAAGTTAATTTTAAAAAATAAAAATAAATTTTCATAATGTGTTATTATATTAATTAATAAATTATTAAAATTTATTAATCATCTCTATCTATTCTTTCTCTTTAACTAATTAATAAATCATTTGATGTTATTATTTCTCTCCTTATCATTGCTTCCTCACCTCCTACTCTGACTATATCCATTCATGTACTATATTTTTCTTAATTTTTTGTATTAAGACCTTATCTTTTTACATGTCTTTTCTATTAAACACTTTCAGTTATCGAATTTTTTTTCAACATCAGTGCATTTTAATTCAAACTTAATTAAATACATGTATCTCTTCTCATATATCTTCTTAATCAAGTGATACTTTTTCACATCATTTTACACTTCCACTTCACCTTTATTTTCTCATATTATCTTAAAATGTATATCAAGATAAAATCTAAGAATATATTAATAGAATTTTCTTAAAAAGTATGTAGATTAATAGATAAAATCTAGGTACAATGCTTTGCAATACTCCATCTATTTTAAAATAACTTTTTTTTTTAAATTAAAGATTTAGTGTCAATTTATGTATTTACTTATATTATGCACCCTTAAAAAATTAAAAATAAAATAAATTTTGTTAATAGTATAATTAATTAAAGTAATGAATAATGATAGGATTAAAGTAGTTTTAAAATATTTATCTATTTTAAAAAATAAAAAAAAACAATTAATTTAGGACACACTCATAAATCAATTTTTTAATAGTAAGATTCAATTTTTTTTTTAATTTTTAAACTTTGGAATAAATTGTTATATTTTTAATTTTTAAGAATTAATCTTATAAATATTTTATTTTCACTTTAACGAAAAGATAACAGATTTTGTTAGTTTAAGGCTAAAAGTTTTAAATTTTTAAGCTCAGGAACAAAAATTTTATAATATAATGTAATGGTTAAAATTTTTAAATTTATTAAGATAAATGATTAAAAATACATTTTAACCAATAGACACCGCA